AAAGTACAGATACTTGAAAAATGTACTTAAGTACAGTAACGAAGTAAAACTACTTTGTTACTGTCCACCACTGCTACATCCTCTGCTACGTGTGTTTTCCTGGTTTCCTGGTTATAATTAAAGTCTCCTTGTTGATGTACTCCTCGTCTCCTCGTTCCTTCGCTCCGCACTCCCTGACAGTAGCGATTGTGACAGAATACCGGAGCAAATAATGTAAGCGGCGCCCCCTCCCCCCGTGTTTGTTTTCCGTTTTTGAAAGTGTTTTGGTTTTCCGTTTTTTCCCCCGCAATCATGGAAATCGCCGCTCAATTCAAAGCTATAGCCTGTAAGGATCTCCCCTTCGTCGCTTAGTTCGGGGTCCAGTATTGTTTATGTCAACCTCCTCTGCTACGTGTGTTTTCCTGGTTCCCTTGATGTTAATAAAGTCTCCTTGTTGATGTACTCCACGTCTCCTCGTTCCTCCGCACTCCCTCACAGTAGCGATCGTGACAGAATACCGGACCAAAGACAGTAAGCGGCACCCCCTCTCCCCGTGTTTGTTTTCCGTTTTTGAAAGTGTTTTGGTTTTCCGTTTTTTCCCCCGCAATCATGGAAATCGCCGCTCAATTCAAAGCTATAGCCTGTAAGGATCTCCCCTTCGTCGAGTATGCCTGGGAGTTCTGTGGGCTCGCTGTGGTGACGGCTTTAGATGACGCCACCATCAACTCTCTGTTCTGGCACGGGGCCAATTACCATCGCCCCGTGGACCTCCCAGACACCACAGGACTAAGCTGGAGGGAAGGGATCCTCCGGTGTCTGGAGAGCGTCCGGCCCCGGGCCAGAACCAGCCCGCCGGCCGCAGCATTCCCAAGCCCACCGGCCGCTCCGATGTCAAGCCCGCCGGCTGCGGCATTCCCAAATTCCTCAGTCAAGCCCGCCGGCCGCTCCAGTGTCAAGTCCGCCGACCACGCCTTTCACCCCGAACCTAAAGGGGAATCTAAGAAGGAGAAGGCGGTTGGTTCTAGTCCCTAGGCTCGCTCCAGTGTCGACTCCAGCCCCAGAGCTCGCTCCAGTGTCCAGGGCTCCAATCCCCAAGTTTAGCCCAGAGAGGGTTCCAGTCCCCGAGTTTAGCCCAGAGAGGGTCCCAGTCCCCGAGTCTAGCCCAGAGAGGGTCCCAATCCCCGAGTCTAGCCCAGTGAGGGCTCCTGTCCCCGAGTCTAGCTCAGAGAGGGCTCCAGTCCCCGAGTTTAGCCCAGAGAGGGTTCCAGTCCCAGAGTCTAGCACAGAATGGGCTCCAGTCCCTACGTCCAGCCCAAGGAGGGCTCCAGTCCCCACATCCAGCCCAAGGAGGGCTCCAGTCCCCAAGTCAAGCCCAGGGAGGGCCACAGTTCCCAAGTTAGGCCTACGGAGGCCCTCTAAAGACGATATTCTCCCCGACACATTATATAGCCTATATATTTATTTAACATCCACAAGATTTAAAGATTAAAAAAATACAGTAGCATTTTGTATTCATTATTTG